AGGTCATATCTATAGCGGCGGTTTTGTATACAAACGCCGCAAAAGGTCAGATCTGTAGCACCATTTTTTGAACAAACACCGCAAAAAGTCATATCTATAGCGGCAGTTTTAATACAAATGCCGCAAAAGGTCAGATCTATAGTGGCCTTTTTTTATACAAACGCCGCAAAAGGTCATATCTGTAGCAGCGTTTTTGGAACAAACGCCGCTAATTACCATTCTTTAGCTAAGAGTAATTGATATTTTGCATATTTCATTTATGCTCTACATCACCTAAATTTAATATCAAGTAACTTTATATAAAAAACAACAACCATAAATTTTAACAACAAAATAAATTAAAATTTATAAACATTAAAATTAAATGTAATGTAGTTTGGCATTGTTCTCTAGAATTTAGTATAGGTTATTTCACTTTCAATTAAAAAAAATATTATTCACTAGAACTTAGTCTTCATTAGTCTGGTTCACCAAGAAGACTTCTTGCTCGTTTTAATGCTTCACTTGAAATAGATAACGACCTTCCAGCTACAGTATGAAAATTGAGAATTAGCAAATTTCAGTTCTCATCTCATCCATTGTTTTGTCAACATCATCTATATTCCTGTAAAGAATCCAAACTTCCAAGCATTTAAACATACAAGCTTCATTGAATAAAATCTTTTTTTCAAAAATAAGTTAGAACCATAATCGAACTGCACTTAAGTGTATGACGTGGATATGTTCAATTTTTCCAAGATTTCTTTTTATTTGGAGGGTCCTTAGATCATATCTATATATCTATATCCAAACATGTCTAAGTTGAAGCACACAAACAAATATATTGAGTTATTGACTGCTAATAGAACTCGACTTTAGAAAATACTTTGTTGACACTTGCTTATTACTTCTTGAAACGCTTTCTATTCAAAATTGATAAAACTTTTGAGCTCTTGAGAGAACATAAAAATGATTGAATTGAAAACAACATATTATCACATCATTAACAATCATTTATTTTAGAAGTTACAATTTACATAAAATCAATTAATTAAGTGTTGGCTAGAATTTACCTCATTTTTTGGGCCTTTATATACTCTTTTCCATGGAAAGCTCCACATACCCTAAGTGTTACTCACACATCCCATCCACTGATAATACCTTCCACTTGTAACTCTCACAAAGCAAGTTCAGAGCAGCAGAGCTGCACATTCTGATTTCATCACTGTAATCGTTGAACCACTAATTAAGCCAATAAATGGTTCAAAATTAGAATGTCATGAATTAGAAACCTCATCTTTTTAAGCCATAATTGATGATAAACTGAGTTTAAGTTAATTTGAGCATAATTACATCACTCACCTCTCCATATTTTGCAAGCCTAAAGTTTGATATTAGGCTTGTTGTGCTCAGTAGTGGAAAATGCACTTTGGGGTGGAAGTATCCATGTGCAAAGAAAAAAAAGGCAAGAGTAGCCCAAAATTAGAATGGCTCATATAAATACTTTATGATTCAGCAAGAAAAAAGTAAGTTCAAACAGAACTGGTACTTACAGGAAAAGTGGTTGGCTTATGTGATGAAAGTTCTCCATTAATAGCAGCATAACTGAAAACAGAAAAGTTCAGAGTCCAACAACTAAAAGGTAATATAGAAAAGTTAAAGGAAATGGATTTATAGAATGATAGAGAGTGTACTTACACGATAAATGCATCCTCTAAGGTGGCAGCTAGTATTCCAACTGTCCCAACTGTCCAGTTCAGAGGAAGAACACTGGAAACATCATATGAACTTTCATATATTATCTAAAGTTTACAAATTATATAATTATTTTACTTGAATAAGTTCTCACCCTGAATGAGATATGCACCCAAAAGTTGGTTTGAACCCAACACCACCACAAAGGGATGCAAGCATCCGCACGGATCCTACACAAAATCCATAGATGAATTACATTAATCCTTAGAGGATGATACATAAAAATGCTCATGCATAGCTTCTCAAAATATAGGAATGATAGAACTCTTAGTCCTAATGTACTTTTATAGTATTAATGAAGTAAACAAATATTGTGATAATAGTATCACCTGAAAACCTGATGAATTCTACATGCTTCTTCCCTGATGGAGGTAATAGTATCTACTCAAACTTATGATGAAGCTATCTTAATGCTAAATATGTTCTTTCAGAACATTGTATGTAACATTATTCAAAAATATTTTATGGTTTTCATTTTTTTTAGTAAAGGACAATTTTTACCTTCACTATCCACACCAAGAGCAACATGGCATAACCTTGAAGATACAACTACAGCAGATCCACTCGAAGAACCACCAACAATTTTATTGGGATCATAGGGATTTCTAATAGGCCTGCAGCAAACACAAAATTTATATACTACCAACTTTAATATCTTTTAAGGGAAAGATCTTAGACAAGATGAAGGAAATGTTAAATTTAGTGACATTGGTTAACTGTATATTAATTTGTAATTAAGACAACGAGGATGATTAATCTGTAACCGTGACACCATACCCTAGTAAATATTTTGTTACTTCCAGCCAATGTCATATCATTACAATATTTGCACATAAGATATCTAAAGCATACTCTGGCACATGTTAAAAGGGTTCTTACTCCTCAGTACAACATATTGCCAAACATAAAAAAATAGAAATAGTTCAAAGAGACAATGTATGCCGAAGTTAAGTTTACTCCGTACTGCAAATAATAAGTGTGTGAGTGTGTGTATTTGAGACATAAATTCCACCATTTACCAGCCATGTTGTCTCGTTCTGAAAGGTTGGCTTAATATCCAAATTCTCAGGCCGAACGAATTGTTGAACTAGAGCCATCTTCTCAGAAAGTTGTTCATCCTGCTTTACATCATCTTTGAGTGAAGAAAAAACACGGGTAAATAACTTTGTCATAACATACTTCTCCAATCCCTGTATTTGGAAGAAAAAAAATGTGAATCCATCAATGCTAGATAAAGTTTTTCCCTTTTTACTAATAAAAAACAAATTACCCAAATATAAGAAAGGTAAGTAATTTAATGCATTAAACATATGCAAGTAAAATGGGTATAGGGAGACTTACTTCACCAGCACTGTCCCGCTCTTCCTCAGAGCATCCTGCCCAAAGTGGATGAGCTCGAAAAATAGCTTCCATGTTGGCAAAGAAAGCCTGTACGACCGCACTATCCCTTTCGGGATCAGGAGCATTGTTCGAGAACGAAACTATGAAACTGTAATATGACGACACAAAGGCAACTCAAAAGTTAAAACCTAGAAATGATATCCTAAAACGAAACAACGCAACTCAATCCTTATGAAATTATATTGATTTGGCAATTAATTAAGAAAAACAACATTCACATCGGGAAATATACTTAAATTTGACGAAATCAACTAATAAAAATAAATCATCGACCGAATATATAATCATTAGTCCCATTTGGGATTAAATCACATCAAGAGAGCAGAAAAGAAGCTTACTCAGAACGAGAACTGGGGCGTGCATAAATGATTTATGGTTTTGTTTGGTTGAAACAAACTAATCTGGAAAATGTTTCTTTTGGAATCTAGTTTTCCCCACTGAAAAACCCTATTAGAACGATGTACCCTTTCTCCCCCTCTTTGCTTGTGTTTTGTACGAAATGAGAGATTTGAAAAATGAGCTGCCTGCAATTTATGGGTTTCCTTTGTTTTCGTTTCTTGTCGAGACGCCCAATTTCTAAAGTCGAGAGGGAGGAGAGAAGATGAAACATTTTTATTTGTAGAAAGGGGGGACGGGAATGGAGAAATAGGTGAAGAGGAAAAATGAAAAAAGGTTAAAGAGGCGTGAGATTTAACAAGTTTAAAATTACGGCGTTTGTAAACACAAACGCCACTAAAGTACGAGTTTTTAGCGCGTTTTTAAAAAACGCCACTAAAGACGAGTTTATAGCGGCAATTTTATAAAAACGCCACTAATGTACGAGTCTATAGCGGCGTTTGTATAAAAACGCCACTAAAGTACGAGTCTATAGCATCATTTTTTTAAAAACGCCACTAAAATACCAGTTTTTAGCGATGTTTGTATAAAAACGCCGCTAAAGTATGAGTCTATAGCATTGTTTATATAAAAATGCCACTAAAGTACGAGTCTATAGTGGCGTTTGTATAAAAACGCCACTAAAGTGTTGCTCTATCGCTGCGTTTTGTATAAAAACGCCACTAAGTACGAGTATATAGCGGTGTTTTGTATAAAAACGCCGCTAAAGTTACCATTTTGTGGCGTTTGAAATGTAAACGCCGCTATATGTTTAAAGTTAGTGGCATTTACTCTAAAAACGCCGCTGTAGAACATTTTTGCTGTAGTGATTATAAGATCATATTTTATCATATCCTAGTAAGCAAGTTAACGTAAAGCTCAGACTACCGTCAAATTCTTAATGAAAAGGATGAGTTTGTAATATAATGAATAGTCGGGATGACAATTTTGTAACTTTAATAGTCAAGGGACTCAACAAAGCAAATTCATATAGTTAGAAGATCATTTTGTAACTTTTAATATTCGAGAGACATAGTAAAATAGTATCACATAGTCGGGGACCATTTACGTACTTTACCCTTGTTTTTTTCATAGAGAAAAACATGAAAAATATGTAAGAAAAACAGATAAAACCAACCGACATAGAAGGCGAAGCATGTGTTGGAATTCCTTGGCTTGGCTTTGTAAGAGCGACATGAATAGGTTATGACAGTTACAAACCAGTCTTTTACTCGATATATTATTACATGTTTTCACCATTCATTTACTCCCACAAAAAAAAAACCAAAACAAAACAAAAATGATTCACTTGTTAATCGGAACTCCTTTGGTTTTTGTAATAATAATCATTGATTGAACGGCGGCGCCACCCTTGCACCACCACTAGACGGCCGAAGAAAAAGCCTCTCACTCCCACCAGCCATTGCTATTACTAAAACTATACGATAACGTATACAAAACATTGTTCTTCGATCAGTCATAAAAAAACCCAATCATTTTTGTTATATTTTCATGGTTTCATGGCTTTTATTACGGATCAACGATCGAGCTTTAAGCATTTTTGTAAGATTTGCAAGAAGGGGTTCGGGTGTGGGCGGGCGCTCGGCGGGCACATGAGGGCGCACGGTATCGGCGACGAGAGCGGGAGCATCGACGACTATGACGTCGCGATCGATTGGGAGGAGAAGTTCGGAGGGAATAATTCGGGGAATAACAACAAGCGGATGTACTCGTTGAGGACAAACCCTAATCGCTTGAAGAGTTGTACGGTTTGCGAGAACTGCGGGAAGGAGTTCTCGTCATGGAAATCGTTCCTTGAGCACGGTAAGTGCGGCTCCGATGACGCCGAATCGCTCCTGTCGTCTCCGGCCAGGTCGGGCGACGTGGCGAGAGGGTGCGACAACGGTTGGTCTAAGAGGAAGAGATCGTCCAAAGCCGAGACGTGTGGTTTCAATAGCGAAGAGGAGGATCTTGCTAATTGCCTTATGATGTTATCGAACGCGGTGGTTGGTCCGTTCGTGACCGATGCCGTGGCGGAGGAGTCTTGTGCTTCGGCTTGTAGAGAAGAGGATACCAAAAGGAATACAATGAATTTCGTTGCTCGTATTGCATGTAGGGTACCGATAGAGAAACCTAAAGGCCTTGCCAGAGGAGTATTTGAGTGCAAAGCATGCAAGAAAGTGTTTAATTCACATCAAGCATTGGGCGGACATAGAGCTAGCCATAAGAAAGTTAAGGGATGCTTCGCGGCCCGGATCAATCATCTCGATAACGCTCAAGTCGACGAAGACCACGAAGTAATCACACACGAAGAAATCCTCCCGACGAAATCGACATCCACTTCCCAATTCGATCAAGGAACATGCACTCCATCACCAGACTCAACGTCGAAAAAGAATCAGAAAGTACACGAATGTTCGATCTGTCGCAGGGTTTTTTGGTCCGGACAAGCATTGGGAGGACATAAAAGGTGTCATTGGGTCACGTCGAATTCACCCGATACACCTTCGTTGGCCAAGTTCCATAGGTTTCAAGATCATCAAACCAAGCACTTCCACCAAAATCCGAACCTGATCGATCACAACTCCAATCAATCGCTCGATCTTAAGCTCGATCTTAATCTCCCTCCTCCGAACAATCTCGATCTCGCACAGCGGAACCACGCGAACCCGTATCGGCAGCCGTGGATGAGGATCGAACCCAAAGAAAAGGCAGCCATTGACAATGATCTTAGTAGTTCATTGCAAAATGCAGATGATGAAGCGGACAGTAAGGTGAAGTTAGCAAAACTTAGTGAACTAAAGGGTATGAATATTGTGAGTGGAAGTTCTTCATCTCCATGGCTGCAAGTTGGGATTGGTTCAACAGCTAATGTTGGTTCCAACCCTTAAAAAAAACATTATGACAAATATTTTATTCATATTTTTATTTCATTTCTTATTTTAATTGTAGACAACATATATAATTTGTATTTATAATATTTATTTAAAAGTAAATTAAACTGTAATTACAAAATAAAACATGATTTTTCACGTTGACAAGTAATAGATATCACCACTCATGCATTTGTATCATGTTTATATATTATTATCGTAGTATGAATATAAAAATTTATTGCTATATGTATATAATTTTTAGATATAATCGGACTAAATTGCGTACTAAAGTGAAACTCAGAGCCAGAATGCATAAAAAAGTCAAGAACCAGATTGGAATTCAAACAAAAAAATCAAGGACCAAATTGAAAGTTAAAGATAAAACCAGAGGCTCAAAAGTAAATTAACCTTATATCCGAGGTGTTATTACAATTTTTTAGGAAAAATTGCACAAAATGGTCTCCCGACTATATGATTTGCTTGATTGAGTCACTTCCTATTAAAAGTTACAAAATGGTTCTCGATAGGGAGTTACTTTATTGAGTCAATTGACTATTAGAAGTTACACAATGGACATCTAACTATTCATTTGTTCTAAAATTGTGCTTTTTCGTTAAAAATTAACAGTCATTTGAGTTGGACGTTAACTTGTTGATTGAGATATGTAGTCGTTTGAGATTATGAGATCATATTTTATCAAATCCTAAGCAGCATGTTAACGTCATGTTCAGACTATCGTCAATTTTTTAACAAAAATAGTAAGTTTTGAACATATGAAAAGTCAAATGACCATTTGTAATTTTTAATAATTGAACGACTCAACAAAGTAACTTAAGAGGATTTTTTTTATTGCGTAAACACATTTGATACCTAAACTATTAATTTTGTTTAATTTTAATACCTAAACTATTTTTTTCAAAACCATACCCAATGTTTAGTTTTTATTTCATTTTTAGTACCCTCATTATAAACTTAACTCATTTAATACCTAAACTGCTAGTTTTGATCTGTTTTAGTACTTAAAGTTTCAATTTCCCCTCTTTGCAATCAATTTTGCTACAACACCCACTGCTCTAGCTAATTGTCCACCCCTTCTAAGTGTGATTTCTATGTTATGTATGGATGTGCCTAAGGGCACATCGGTTGAAGTAGATTCTTCTTTTTGATCAATCAGTCAAAACCCCTTCCCAAATTGTACAAGCTTCTTCCCAAGCATATGACTTTTCGGATGTAGATGATGTGTCGAGGGAATTACACGTATAGAGATTCAAAAAAGAATCGATCTAATTCATGTCATAATCTATATGGGATTTCCTAAAGTATTAATTGAAGATAGATGTAAAATATAGATATGTATATAAAATAAAAAAAATAGATAGTTTAGATTTAGAATAAAATATTAGAATAAATAAATAGAATTTTCGAATTTGAATTTGAAGGTTTTTTATTTCTAAAATTCTAATATTCAAAACTTAACATTAAATTTTGAATGAGATACTAAAATAAAACAAAACTAAAGTTTTTAAAGGTATGTACTAAAATGAAACAAAAACTAAACTTTAGATATAATTTTAAAAATATTTAAAATATAAGATACTAAAACCAACAAAAACTGATAGTTTAAAAGCTAGACGCGTAATTTATCCTTTTTTTTATTTTTAAGTCATAAATGATAAATCTCTATTCCGTTCAGCTCATCTTTTAAGAAACTTCCAGAAATACACTTACCACTGCCGCTTAAAATCCAATCGTTTTCAATTGGAAGGGTTAAAAGACAATTATACCTTATTTCGAACCACATGACTGTAAAATAGGAAAAATGGGAACCCACCAACCAACCAACAAACATCACTGTCCCACGTTCTTCCTTTTTTTGCTCCACCATCCAGCACCGTTCACCGGAAACCTCGCCGGAACCTGTAAGCCGCTAATTTCTCCAGCGTTCCTCCTACGGATCCGATCGCGATGAGCACCGGAGAACTTCTCAGCATCGAGCCTCAAGAGCTCCAGTTCCCCTGTAAGCATCTTAAAAGTTCCGCTTTGCTCTTCAGATCCGTATCTCTAATGGTTTTAAGTTTTCGACTTAATTGAACTGCTTTCTAATCCTCAAACGTTTCTTGTTTCTGAATTAGTTGAATTGAGAACGCAGATCTCGTGTTCCCTGAACTTGTCCAACAAGACCGATAATTATGTGGCTTTTAAGGTGATTGTAAATTCTCAAAATTATTTTGGATTTTGTGCTAACATAAGAAGGCTTTGATTCTATATTTTGTGTGTGTTGTGTGTGTGTTCTCATTTTTGCAGGTCAAAACGACAAATCCAAAGAAGTACTGTGTGAGGCCAAATACTGGAGTTTTGCTGCCTAGGTCTACGGTCAACATTACTGGTCTCTCTCTTGCACAAATTTGAACTTATAGATCATTATTTTAGCTGATCACGGTTGATGTTGAATTTTAGTAGTTTATTTTCTTTATTTTCCTCTTTTGTGGTGTTAATTTTGTTGCAATCATTTGTTTTAGTTGTACACTATAAGTACTTATCGTTGTAATTAATTGATCTATTTATTGAATCAGTTACAATGCAAGCTCAAAAGGAAGCACCTCCTGATATGCAATGCAAAGACAAGTTTTTACTTCAGAGTGTGGTTGCTAGTCCTGGAGCGGATTTTACTCCAGAGATGGTATCTATAGGAACTCTACTGAAGTTGATTTGACAATTGGAGGTTTTTTTTTTTGGCTAATGTTTGCTTTTGCATTTGTTAGTTCAATAAGGAATCCGAGCATCATGTTGAAAAGTGCAAGTTGAGGGTTGTTTATGTTGCACCTCAACGGCCTCCATCCCCTGTTCGAGAAGGATCCGAGGAAGGCTCTTCACCTAGGGGTTCAGTGTCGGACAATGGTAGCTTGAATGTGGCAGAACTTTCATACGTGAGTATTGCTTGGATTTGTTTGATATTGATTAGGTTTTTGGTGTTGATCAATGCGTTCTTTTCAAATATTAATGACTTGTGTTTTGGTTGTATGATTTGGCCTGCAGGTGTCAAGAGCTCATGTTGAGCGGCATGAACGTCAATACAAGTCATCCGATGTAACTTCTCTCTTTATGTCTTACACTTTTATTTGCACTTTTAGTCTGGTTTGGAATTTTATGGTTACTTAAAAGGAATGTTGACAGGTTCCATCTAAGCCAATGAAGTGAATGGTAGTCATGATAGTAGATTTCTGTAGTTGCATGTGGTTGACTTTTTTCATTTAATTGGCATAATTTAGGAATGTCACATGATAAGTTTTTCGAGTTATAAGTTGAAGGATGCATTGATATACTGGTAATCATTCTTTCATTATTTATCTTTGGATGGAAATTTTATGGAAAATTGTCTATTCTCTATATCACCTGTCATCAAGCATGATTCAGCTGACCTTATCGATTTTGAGTGTTTATTTACATGGTAGTTTATCATCATTCTGTAATAACTATGGGTTTCATTTCTTTTCACTTGGAGGGATATCTGCTTTTCAAGTTCAAATTTTTTTATTTGTCAGTATCTTGTTTCGAGATTGAGTGTCATTTAGTCAAGATTTTTAATGAAAAATACCAACTTAGCAATTAACTTTCTCAATATTATACCTGGAAGAGGACTCAAACCTCCACACTTTTTAGCATGAGATTTTGATGTATCAATCTGTATTTTCAGGCTATACATACTTGGTTTGAAGAGAACAATTTGAATATACCTTTGTTGCGTTAAAGATGTTTCTTTTCTTGTTTAAACTACATGGAATTCACATTGTTTGAACTTTTGTACTTGTTTTTTCTAAAGCACTTGAATTGGATATAATCTTGTACTTGTTTTTTTCTCTGCTGGTGGTAATTAACCAGAACTTCTCCTAGATTTCTAAAAAAAATCTCTTCTCATCACACCCCCAGCATTTTGGTATTGGATCCGAAGATGGATACACTAATGCATTTGGTGTGAGAAAAATGTATGGATGTAACATGGCTTGGTTCAATTGCGGCATTATCCCCTTGTGAAGTCATCAATGCTATATCTTTTACCATTACGCTCATGTGGGTGTATCTTTTTCATGATTTGATATGATAATAATGTAATTGAAATGTTTGAAAAGAATTATCATCTCTGAAGACCGAAAAGCCTCGAAAGGGTGGATAACTAACAGTGGTGATGCTCCTTTTTCCTCTATCACTGAAGTTATTCTAAAAATTTACTAATTTCTGAGAGGAAAAGAAAAAGGCCTTAAAAAACATTTATGTTTTTTGTTGCATTTTTATTCTGAAAAATAATTTAATTGCAGGTAAGGTCTGTCATTTCCAAGCTAACCGAGGAGAAGAACTCTGCCATTCAGCAGAATAACAAGCTTCAGCAAGAACTGGTAAGTTGTTCCCTACTTTCTAAGAGTTTCTAGCAGTTCACTTTGGAATTAAATCTTCGGGGTCCTCAACTAGTAACAAAAGGTTAATGGAATTAAGGACCAATTGTTAATACAATAGTTTCTTAAGTGCATCTCCATTCATTCCGCAACCTTAGCAAAAATAAAATCATCTGCGGGCATTATCCTGTCGTCAATAGCATATCATTGTCTTTTTTATTGAAACCAAGAATGACAAGTTAAAAGGACATGGCATAATAAAATAAGGAATAATAATATAGACAACGATGCCATTATGCTAATTGTTTTATGGTGTCTCGCATTGAAATTCGATTTGCAGGGACTCCTGAGACGCGAAGCCAAAAGAAATCAGGGTGGTATTCCCTTCGTTTATATATTTCTTGTCGGCTTGATTGGCATCATTTTGGGATACCTATTGAAAAGAACATGACCCCCTCCGGATTACACAATCTTCGTTGTTCATCGGTGCAACCTTCATGACTCGGAACAAAAATGAAATTTAGAGAATCAGAAAGGTAAGTGGTAGCTTCTCCTGTCTGAATGTAGTAATACTAATTTTTTTGTAATGGTATACCCGAAACAAAAAACAAACAATCATGTTCAATGTGTGGACATGGAAGGGCATTGTTTGTTCATTGTATTACCGTGCATTGAGATTACAGTAGGGTCTTTGATGTTTCGACTGGGAATTACTGGATTTTATAACTGTTTGGCCAACACATATATTTAGGGGAAACTAACTCTTTATTCATGATGTTAAGGTTAAATTCTAGGGTATTTTTGTTCATGCTCTTTGGTGGATTGGCTACAAGTAGTAACCAGTAATGGTTAAATTAGTTGAACCTGACAGGTTTAGACTGTAGTGTTGTATTCTTTTTGTAATTTGGGTTTAGGAGCATGGTGAGTTTGGTGAAGGAGAGGAGTCGAAACAGATTAAGGTTTACGGTAAAAAAAATTTATCCGAGTTAGGTTAATTATTGTAATCCCTATATATAGAGATACTTATTATAATTCTCATTTATCCATATATTTTAATTATTTTTTATCTTATCGAATAAAAAAATGGGATGGGTTGGGTTAAGGGTTTGTTTCATCTCAGAATTCGAGGTAAGTGAAACATTATCGAAGACAGGTTGGATTGGGTCGTGGCGAAAAATTAACTTTCCTATCTTATGCCCTTCTCTAGCTTTAAGTCACATATTTTTTTTACTAAACTTTATATTTATAAATTATCATTTGATATAGTCAGGGGTGAGCGTTCGATCGAGTCGAGTTAAAAAATTTTAAGTTATTCGAGTTGACGAATCCTATTTTAAACTCGAAGTTGACTTGAAATTTTTTCGAGTGGAGTTGAGTTTAATTTTTGAGTTTCTGTTTAAGTTTAATTATAAATATTTATAATATTATGATATTATTTAATTCCAATTTAAATGATTTTTATAAGCATATACAATACAAGTGTATTTCTTCATATTTTTCATATGTGATATATATATATATATAATTCAGAGTCGAGGGATTCGAATTAAACTTGAAAATCATTCTACTATTTACTAAAAATTTTGAGTTATTCAAATTGTATATTACAATTCGGTTTGAACTTGATTTTTTTAGTCGAGTTTATGAAATTACAATTCAGATTAATTCGAGTCGAAATAATCGATTTTTCGAGTCGAGTTTTGTTCACCCTTAAATACAGTGATGTGAGTTTGTTTATATATGTGTGTATCTGTGGGCGCATTTTATTTTGAGATTTATGTCATTTAGTATTGTGTATGTAAAACTCGTCAAGTAAAGGTGACGAGTTTTATACAATTTTGATATGTTTTATATGGCAAAATTTTTTTTTAATATATTTTATTGAATTTTTCATATTCACGTGAAGAGTTTTATGTGCACGGTAACAAATGACTGAGATTCTAACATAAATTTGAAGATGCTTTATTTATTTATTTGGTAAAGAAAGAACACATTACAATAAGATGCTTTATTTTATTAATTAATTGTTCTGTCTGTATTATTTACCTAATTGTGCCCCTTTCACTTTGTGATTCATCGAGTTTCACTTTTTATTTTTCTATTTTTGATTCGATGAGATGAAAATTTAATACTTTTAAAAAAAATAAAAAATTGATTCAATCAATCAAATTATCCGTTTTCATCCTATTTTGATTTTTGGGTTAACTACTTCAAATGTCACTCACCTTTGAGCGCGGGTTCGAAAATATCATTAACGTTTTAAATTTTAACACTAATGTTAATGTTTAATTCTAATTTTGTCATTTCGCCATTAAACTATTAACAGGACGTTGACAAAGCATCTACTTATTGTAATAGTGATTACATGAACTTTTTCATTAAAGGAATTTAATCCAAGTAGGTTGTTACTTTTGTTTTATGGTTTGTATTGGTATGGTAGTTAAACCATTAATGTTACAATGGTGATGAAAATTTAGATTGGGTTGATGCCGATTGTACTTTTGGTTTATAATGGGATATAAATTTAAGGGTGAAATTTGAGGATTAATGGGTTGTATTTGGTTTAGAGTTTAGATGCATGTGTAACATTTTTTGTGAATGATATAATGAATGTTAAATGTCACCTTTTGATTTATGTGAAATTGACAAATATATATATATATATATATATATATATATATATATATATATATATATATATATATATATTATATATATATATATATATTTGTACTTTAAGTGCATTTATAGTATGCAGGTAATGGATGTAAAATGGCACCATGACAGTGAATAATATAAGCTAACATGAATGGTAAACATAATAAATATCATTCAATTATAATCGTAGTTGATTGGTTGACATCCATCTAACTGTCATTACATTTTATGTTTGTTCGTTGGTTGGATAAGCTGCACGGCCTGGAGTAGGGACAAAAACAAATGTACTAGCATATGATGTTGCAGCTTGTGAGGATGGTGCTTCTGATGTTGTAGCCCATGATGATGTTGTGGTCATTGATGTAGTTCTTCTCCTAACCTATATTCACACGTGTATGAAAATGAGAAATATAATTATGATATAATGTTAAAAAAGAAAAATAAAATGAGAAATGTATATTTGTAATTTTGTCATGTTGTGTCTAAATTCAACAATTATTTGGTTGGTTGTCTTGATGTGTTGAAATTAAGCCACTGAGGTGGCATGTTGTCTCCAGCTATCCCTTTGCATGTCCTTTGGTTGTGTCTTACTTGACCACACTTGGAAAAATACATTCTCAGTCATTTCTTAGTAATTGTAGTACGAGACTTTGTGGTTTCATTTTCTTTCTTTCTCTTATTTTTCTTAGGCCTTCCCAGTGACCTTCTAATTGTTGGTGTAGTAACTGGCTCACAAGTAGTGTCAGTTAGCCATTGATTAGGCCCTCAGGCCTTCGATTATTGAACACCATTACAGAAATAACATGTATGCATGAGATTCCTATCAATGAAAGAAATATAAGTTGTTAAAATAATAAAGTTAATGAGAATGAAAATAGAACATAAATTGGATTGGTACAAACCAGTGAGATCCCACTTTCTACATGAGCAAAAATGATTTTTCAAATCAACAGTATGATGGTTGGTTGGTCCAAAAGACATTTGGTACTTTTGACCTCCAGCGTGGGTAGGCCAACACTTACACACAATAATCAAGCAAGAATTAGTAAGAGTACAAAAAATTATAAAACAAAATGTGCAATATCTAAAATAACAATACCTCGTGGACTGTTGAATGGCAAGTTCAACTTTTTTTGAATTCCTGGACACAAACTTCCAGTGTACTTGTCTGCAGCTTCTTTTTTTCATAACAATTTTTTTCATTATCTTGGCCCTGATAATCTCCATTAGATTTATAATTGACTTATCTCGGGCTTCTAATATCATCTTGTAACATAAAAAAAATTGACACTTAGTATCCATAAGATGAAAACAAACAAGGTAATAATTTCAATCAACTTACCTTGTTAAAGCACTCTGACAAATTCAACCAATCAAAGGTTGGTTTTGATAATGCTTTGAGTTCATCCATTGCATCTTCAAACTCTTTTTTGTATGTTGCTCAAATTGCCTTCCACAATGCATTCTTTAAGTTATTCCCTTTGAATTGAGCATTATTCTTAAAGTTGGAGTACAAGTGTCTCACACAAGTCTTATGCTAAACATTAGGTAAAACATTTAGCATTGCCTCAACCAGTCCCTAAAAAACAATAAACAAACTAGTATTAGTAAAATTATTCAAAATATAAAGTAAACCGAGTATTAGTAACATTATTCAAAATAGGAAGGTAAATCATAATTACCTTATGCTTGTCTGACATAAATGTGATATTATGGTTGTATGCAATCTCCAAATCATTTGCCAACAGTAAAAAAACTAAGACCTAGATGATTCATTTTCATTCTCAAAAACAACATAAGCAATTGGGTATATGTTGTCATTATCATCATCAATACCAATAGCAACCAAAAAAATACATCCATAATAACCTTTAAGGTGACAACCATAAATGCTAATTATAGGTCTACAGCATTTGAAACCTTATTTGCATGCTTGTAAACATATGTACATTCTCTCAAAGACCCTATTGTTCAGTTTTAGAATGGTTGTGCTACTAGGATTATAAGCTCTAATTTCACCAAGATAACATATATATTTGAGTATTGACCCTTGTGACTCTCAAGGATCATATCAAGAGCTAAGTGCTTGGCTCTCAAACATTTACTCAATGGAACTTTGTAGACATGATCTTCTAACACATCTTGTCTTAAAGTTCTAATCGGGTACTTAGAATCAACCCTAAAATTTTAAGATATATTTTAGCTATCCACTTATAGGTTGTTTTTTTAAAAACCCATAAAACAATTATGTTCTCCTACATAAGACTTAGTCTTCCATGAGGCGTTCGTCTCATCTTTTCGATCAACCCTTGATGCCCAAATATACCATGGACACTCTTCTTTGCAAACAACATGCACCCTTACACTGTCAGTTTTTTTGAATTTAATACCAACCCTATTCTTAATCTCATACTGCCTGACATCCTCTTTCAACTTCAACTTATAACTAAAAATCATCCCAACTTTAAACTGTGAGTTTTCCATATCAGTTTCAACGTTAAACTTAGGACATCTATGGTTTCCTTGACCATCTGAGTCAGACTCATATTCTTTTCACTATGTAATGACTCTATTCCATCAGTTCCATCTTCATCATTCGAAGACACATCAACCTCGCCCACATCTCTACTGTGTAACCCATTAATTTCTCTTTCAAAGTCTACTCCCACGTGTACCTCATGTACATACTTGTCTTCATCACTCACTTCATTTTCACTATACTCAAACCCACTATCAGAAGAATCACTTTCATCAGTTAGATATTTTGTATCTTCTTCAGAGTGTAACTCAGTCCTAAATGTTTCATGAGTTTCAATTACAATAGTTTCATGAGTTTCAATTACAATAGTTTCATGAGTTTTAGTTGTTGTATTCACAATGGTTTCATTGTTTTCTATCTTAAAGTTTTCTTGATTTTCTTTCAAGTACAAATGAATTTGTCTATTTATGGACATATGTTCTAACATGTTAATAATATCATAATATGTTCTTAATGGCTTAACAGTTAATATCCCTGAGGTTCTTTCCAAAACAGTTTCTACATACCAAAATAACCTAACTCATCGACCATATCATAAATCTCAAGCATTGACATACTTTCCACATGACACACATAAAAAAACTTAC